AGTGCAATAGCAATCTCAGCCAATCCTGTTCAACACTCCAAGACAAAACATATCGACATAAGGTACCATTTTCTTAAACATCAAGTTGAAGAAGGTAACGTCGAGTTATATTTTGTCAAATCATAATTTCAATTGGCTGACCTCTTTACAAAAGCCCTAGATGAGAAAAGATTTAATTTCCTTATGGAGAAAATTGGAATGTCGTGTCCAGAGTCTTAGGTGGTGGTTGTCTTAATTCTTTATTCTTTTTGTTCATATATTCTCTTTTAAATTTAATTTTGTAAATAATTTAAATTTCTTGAATAATTTTTCGCTTGATTCTTTAGTCTACAGGTTTAACCAAGCAGAGGCTTGCATGGTTCAAGGGGGAGTTTGTGTTTTAAAAAAAAAGATAAAACCTTTTGAAGAATAAAATGTTTTAGCTCACAGAAGTCTTTTCACAGAACCTCTGTGACTGCTTACAGAGGCTCTTTGAACGGATCTTCTGTGGACACTTCTTCTTTAGGATTTTCAAATTGTTTTTATTCAAGGGGGAGCCAAGGAAGCTGGCTCAGAGGGGGAGTTTTCAAAAATTAAAACCACAGAAGGTGCAAAAACGTTTGAAGTATTTCGTTCTCAGAGGTCATCTCATCAGAACCTCTGGCGCTTCTAACAGAGGCTCTGTGAGTTGAGCTGAGCAAATACTCATCTCTCTGTGAATTTTCTAAAACCGTTTAGGTAAAAAGGTGTAACATTTATAAGAAGACCCGGCACATATCACAGAGGCTCTGTAACCCTTAGGCCTCTGACAGAACTCTGTTGATAGTTCTTGTCTATTGATATGGTGCGCGTGGTTCTATGGATAAGGGTAAGAACAAACACGCGCGTGTCAGAAAACGGAAGCGCACGTCATCAATCGCGTGTCTTCCCAATACGGCGTATCATACCTTTTTTGAACCGTTTCACCCAAATCCACTCATTACACGACCTTTTGTACAACGGACGGTTCAATTTTAAAAATCCTCACCTATATATACCCTCCTTCCCCCCAAATTAAAACCTTACGCTCTCAAAAACTCTCATATACACACAAACGAACCAGAAACCTGCAACTCTCTCAAAGCTTACCTGCAACCATGTCGTCTTCAAGCGCCTCAGCCCAATTAGTGAACGTATCCAGCGATAACGAGGTCACCCAAGCACAAGCTCTCACTTCACACGCCCTGTCTTTCGTACAAAACAAGTACGAAAAGATCGTCCTTGTGAAGAAGCCGAATAACTACTATTTCGTCTCCTCAAGCACAGGTTTTCCCGATTTCACCTTCACTCTAATGGAAATTCTAAGGAACCACCCTCTTTTCTATGCTTTATCTGCTACTCGACCCACACCAGAAACCTATTTAACCCAATTTTTGTTGAGTGCCTACATTACTACTCTTGACAATTCTGGCCTCACAATCGTTGGTTATGCATCCCACCTAGTTAACAAATCCCTTGTCCCATTAGAACTTAATGTGGAAACTTTGAGAACTACTCTACATTTGCCTACCCTTGAACAACTAAATCTGAATGCCTATGCTGAGACCCCTACCGACGAGGAATTAATCAAATTCCTGGAATTTCATTCATATGCGACCCCGATCATCAAAAGGACACAATTCAAGCGCAAGGGACTGCCCCCTGTTTGGAACACCTTATTCTCAATCATCAACTGCTGCCTAACAGGGAATGTGGGCAATCATGACCAGACCTCCCATGCTATGATGTCCATCATGTATGGAATATACTTCAATCTTCCTCTAGACTACGCCAAACTCATTTTCGAGGACATGGTCAGGCTCATCAAGAAGAAGTGCTCAAGCCAACGGGGCGAAAAGTCGAAGGTACAGGCCCAAAAGAAGGCCAAGGAAGATATGAACCAGCCAAATTTGATCCTACAACGCTTCCTTGGTTTAGCATTTGGAGACCTTCTAGCAGCAAAACTGCCTTCTGTGGAGCCCAATGCAAAGCTCTATCCTTTCAAGGAGTTTCATCCTACCGAGCACGAGCATGGCTACAGAAGCCCAAGACCCTCATCCAAGGCCATGCTCAGGTATTTAAGTCACGAAGATCGCAAAGCCTATAGACGTGGTAACAGGCGACCAGAACCGGTCCCTACAACCCCACCACGAATAGGTACCCCCTTAGGTGTGGAGATTGCAAAAATGAGAGTGGAGGGATGTGTGGAGGAGCCAGTAGTGGCTGGTAAGCAGAGTGAGGTACCCCCTAGAATCCCAAGTCCCCCACGCAAGAAGAAGAAGACACAGAAGGGTGATGACTCTTCTGTGAAGAAGAAAGGGAAGAAGAGGCCCGTAGAAGAAGAGGGCCCAACTGTACCTCTGTTGTTTTCTTCTTCATGTTGTTTTTCTTTCACATGTACGAAATCTACTTTATAAGAATATTATTGCCTCTACAATGAGATGGAAATATAAACTTATTACCCTTAAACGATACTAAATTTCACATCTAGTTTGCAATTGTAGGCTCTAATCTGATCATTTTTCTTATTAAATGGGAAGTTTAAACGAGATAGCACATCTACATGTGGACCAACACTTATTATCCCCTAAACCCTTGACTTTGATGTAAAATGAATCAATGGCATATTGTTTGTTGCTTTTGCAAATCCAAGTACATCACCAAACTTTACAAAGATATTTTACATATTAGCTTTGTCTAAGCTATTGTTCGTAGATCTCTAATCTCACATGTTTGTAGACTTGAAAGCCTTATTGTTTTCAAACACACACATATAGGGGCAGGTTTGATCACGGATTGTGAACAAATGATAGCATGTCAAGTGGTCCTGGACATTCACGAGATATTCATAATGAATGGTGTAGCATTAATCATGAATGTTCAAAAAATTCATATTCATTATTCATGATGAATGGGGACACGTGTCACGCTCTCGTTTATCATCGATTCGCAAAGGAAAACATGTTCACAACTGAATCTCTCTCTCTCTCTCTCTCTCTCTATAATATTTATATATATATAGGATCAAACGAGAAGACAGTCAACTTACGAGAAATGCAAAAACGGACACATAACATTCTATAATAAATGACATGCAACACCGCCCCCCTAGATACATTGTATGCTAGAATAAATGGATTATTCATAATAAAACTGAAGTAGATGCTCATTTATAAACCAAAATACATGTTGTTAAAAAAATCAAAGTTGTATTGATTGTAGATATGACATTATAATAATATACAATAGAATATATTACCACAATGTCGTTAGTAGCTTAAGTTATATTTAAAACAAAATCATACAATATTTATATATCACAAATAAACATCGTAGTAATATTCAAAACGTAGACTAGGAAAGAACATGGATGAAATGGAGGGTAGAGCTGGAAGAAATAACATGACTTGATGCATTAAGCAAGAGAGGGAGGGTTATCCTAATGAAGCTAGCTTAACTGATGGCTTAATCTGAAAGGTGCACGTAAATGACCATATACGAGAAAATGAATACACTTCTTATACCATGAAGCATTAAACAGACAATTCTAAAGTTAATAAACTCATTAAACTAATTATGAAAAGAAAAACCTTCTTAATCCAAACTTATTATTCTATCATCTACCTAGAATTTTGTCTGGAGTCCTACCCCTTTTATAGAAAAAACCGATTTGCCACCGCATACCTTTGTATTTTTGATGTACAAGAACTCTTCGGAATTTGTGAGGATGTATGGAACCACATTAGATTACTTTTCAAAATAGCCATTGAGGAGAAAATGGGCGTTCCAATAAATATTGAGAAGAAACGGTCCAAGTCTAGCCCAATCCAACAAAACGGCCACAAACTGTCCCATAACGTTGAAACGGTACTTGACAACTGATTGTGCTAGACAAGTATAAATTGTCCTAGAGTTTCAAGTTCCTAGAGTATATATACACATTGGCTATGATATTATGTGAGAACATAAAAATCTCATATTTACTCTCCAAAAAAAATCGAGTTCCTAGAGTATATATACACATTGGTTATGATATTATGTGAGAACGTAAAAATCTCATATTTACTCTCCGAAAAAACTTCACTGATAAAAGAAGGTTCTAACATATACTGAGAATAAATTATTTAAATCTAACCAATGCAAGATTCTAACCGAATTAATGTAGGTTCATAAAAGTTTATGCTAACTAACCCTTTCAATTAGAGTAGCTTTTCTCATTATGGTCCAACTTTAAA